TGGTTTATGCATCTGTGGTACTAAAGGTATAATAGTATGTTTTACTATGTTAGATGAAGAAACTCTTCTTAGGGCCTCTTGCTGATTAATTTTGTGGAAAGTAAAAAGGGCCTATATCAGTATCATAGTATCTAGCATTTGTGAAATCTATGACTGCCGTGAAAGGCTCGTCTTTGGCCTAAACTAGCTCTAATTCTTCCCCTTTTCATATAAGAAGCATTTAATAAAGAGAGGAAGGAATGCATTTATTAGCATGAATCCAATCTTTGTTTACCAAGGCTGATATTATATTGTTGTGATAATCACAAAGAAAGTCGTGAGAGATGATTTGGATCTGACGTCTATTTGTAACGATAGTATCTCTAGAACTTTTGAGGCGATCCCTATGAATCCTACCACGGAAACCTTTGTTGGCATTAAATCTTATTCCTCTCATCCCATACTGAATAATGGCTCGACGATGAATATAATACTCTTGTCAACTAATACTCTTTTCATGGGCTTTTCATTAAAATGAGCCTTAATATACAAAGGCTTTAAGCGTTGAATCATCTTAAAATTAATTTTTTCTAGAATAGCCCATTTTGGCTTCTCTTCTATAGCTTTTTGTGTAATTTGGCATACGGGCTCCAACTTAGTTTTTACTGTTTGCACTTTTCCCTGTACTTCAAATGATTTAGGTTCTTTATTTTTCCTTGGCTCCATAGGACAATATTGGTATGGGCTCATCTACTTTGTCTAAGTAATCCTCATTTCATCTTGATCACATAAAAGCTTGTTTTGGGCCTTATTTCCTATAAATCTGCTAAACTGTAAAGGAAGTGTCAAAGAAACCACGCGACAGAGGTTCAGGAGTATCTCTATTACATGAATATCCTTAAATTGCTGGCTTTCATTTTTGCTTTCTCCCTTCTCATCTTGGTCCTCCGTTGACCTTCTTCTAAATTTACTTAATTCTTGCCCGTCAGTAGTTTCCTGAGAGTTTGCCTTTTGTTTCTCAAGGTATCTTTGCATTAAAGACATCTTTTTTAGGTACATGTTAGAATACCTAGGAGTTTTTAGTGTCTCACTACCCTCTATTATAACGGTGGTATGTTACCAGGTGGAGTGACAAACCTACCTTTATTCCCTATGGGCTTTAGTTCTAAAGAGAGCTTTTGAGTGATTTCTAATGTTGGTTCCACCATGCGTTATCCATCTAGACCCATGTCCTAACCTAAGGGCTTTCTTGTGAAAGGGTCCTTTACTTTAAGTGGGGTTGAGTATATTATAAAAAAAATCAAATTTGTCTAATGGCTCTTCTAAGCAGTCCCAAACTACTTTGAATTTTTTCGGGCTCTTCATAAGTTTCCCCTTTGGGCCTATATCCTAGCTCAAAGGTCTATCTTTGTATGGCTTCGTCATGTCAAGTAGGATTATGCACTTGTCATCATGATCTGACTTGCCTGAATGTTCCTTTAGGCTGTCCCATATTACCTTAGTTTTTTCTTATCTCATTTCATCTCTGATCCAAACATTCCAAGGCCATCCATTCCCTTATTTTCTTTGCCTGCCATCATATTTTTTAGTTTTTTGTTTGTTGAAGTCTATCTCTACCATATTGATAGTGGCAAAAAGTGGGAATGGGTCTTCGTCCACTACCATGGATTCTTCTTTCCTTAAAAATTTCAACATGTCTTTATTTATTTGGTACTGCATAACATTATTAAAGGCCCAATAGACATTAGTACTATGGCTCCATGAATGATGATATTTATAGTATTCCTTTTCTCTTCATTCTTCTTTAGATGGAATTTTATGATCCACAGGCAACGACATGAACTTTTCTTTAAGCAAGAAATCAAAGATTTCTTTGGTCTTTGAGGTATCAAATGTATTTTGTATTACATTAGTTTTTTTTAGGGTTTTGATGGCCTTCCTTATTAAGGCTAAGCGAGTATAGTCCCTTACACTTTTTAGTTCTGCTATAACCACATCAAGCTTGCCAAAGTATGTGCCTGTGGTCATTTGCTGATGGTGATCTTCTTTCTTCAGTAATTCCCTGTATCCACAGACCTTGACTATGAGTTCATAAAAGTCTCTGAACTCCATCCCTAGGAACTTTTTCCTTAATTCTATATCAAGTCTTGCTTAGGCCATTTTGACAAATTCAACCTCTAGAAGTAGTACATTATACCTGCTCCTTAGTCTTTTGAACCTTATGAGACACTGATCTATTGCCTCTCTGACCTGTTAAGTAAGTTTTCAAAGCTATATGATACTAACTTCAGGTTCTACCTTATAGAACTGCATGTGGAATTTTTGTTCCACCTCAAGCTAATTAAGCACTGAGTTATGAGGAAACCTAGTATACTAAGTAAATGCTGGACCTATGAGGGAGTTCGCGAATAATCTTATTTTTCAAGTTGGTGAAGTTGTCGTAATTGGCAATTTTCCCATATTAGAGGGTAAATCTACCAATATTTTTAAGTGTTCATTGAATAAATCTACCACCCATCTTAGTATCAAGTATCAATGGTTCTAACCCTACAGGTGCAGAGTTTCCTTCTGGCACATTAGAACCAACACCTATTTCATCAATCTTCTTATCTTTTTTTATCCTTAGCATCTTGCTACACAGTGTCCCACTAGGCGTGCCACAAGTTGTTCATCATGAACAACAAAAATATCGAGCATGCCACAAATTGTTTGTCATGAACAACAAAAATACCAAGCATGTCAAAGACGCTGAGCCTCAAATGATAACAAAGGGTCCCCAGGCTCTCTTACTAAAGTTTACCTAAATGTAAAAGATACAGAGAAATTGGAATAACAATTATTTGATTAATAGAAAAGGAAAATTACAAAGCTAAAATCAAAATTAAAGATTATTTGAAAATCAAGAGCTATAAGTAAAGGGGATTTTAGTGTTGTTATTGTTCAGTCTTTTTCTCTATGATCTTCTCTTCCTTTTATAATAATTTAGTTGAGATGGTTGCTCTCATGGAATTTAGAACTCATTCGTGAAATATCAAGGATTCAATATGCATGGCTTGCAAGATTCGTGGCATGATCTTCCTCTTTGCAACGTGTATAGACTACCGTTTGACCACTAGCTCATGTCCCTAAAATATTTGTGGATGATGGCCATGATCTTTCGAGATTTGGGACTTGTTGAGAACATGGTCTATCGTGAGACAACAACCTAGATAAAGATTTTGAGTCTTAAGGGATCCATAAACCCGAATTGACTTAGTTAGGTTATTTCATTATGATCTGGACTGGCCCTATTATTAGATTACTTACTAGGCTTGAGTATTCAGTTATTCGACCCATTTTCTGCTATAGTCATTATAAACAACATCTCAATTTTAGCCTAAACAAACTCTTCTAAATTCACAAGTTGGTGCAAACAAACTCTTATTGCTATAAATTCCCTTTAAAGGACCTTAAATGTCATTCTTTCAAAATATAAATTTTCAAAAACACTCTTCATTTAATAGACTAAAAAGAGAGAGACAAAAATTAATAGAGAGAGAAATGATAATATTTGAATAAATCTATTTAATAAAATACTAATATTTTTAAAATATTTTATATTTTAAAATGTTTAATCTCTCCTTAAAAATATCTTATTATTTAGGACGGAGTAGATGGATGTAGCATTATTTGGACATTAAAAGCGTCATATTATCATTTCATCACCTGCAACAATTATGTAGGCATATCGGATCATCAACATCTTAACTTCCCCAACCCTAACCCTCATCTGCCATATAGGCGACTCTTTAATTTACATTTCATTTATTTCTGTCTTGAATATCTACGTCTCTCTCAGTTTTTATTCAATGCTGTCATATTAATCCTCAATGTATTAAAAGTCTTGCCCTTTGAACAAATGTTAACCACTTAACCCAACATAGTAAGGTATCTCTTCTATAGGGTAATAACTTTTCTATTATCGTCTTCCCTTGCTAATGATTCATGACTTTGATTTTGTTAAAAAAGAAGTTGCAAGGCGGGCAGAAATAAAATGCTGTTATATTTGGAAAAAGCTAGCCTTTGCAGACCATGGATATGGTTGCTTTGGTCGTTTTTGACATACGAAGCCAAGGTCATTAAAAAGGGATAGAAGAGAAAGATAAAACGCATATACATTCGCCTCTTTAGTATATGGATGTATCCTCACCATTTCTCATTTTCTGCTTCTGAAGTTGAAGGCTAGGGCTCAATTAATTTATCAGCAGTTTGGACACTCAAGCCAAACTAAACATAAAGGCTATTTCTCTTTAACTCCGCTTCAATCAACCAATATCAAAAACGATAATCAAACATCCAGATGGATAAATGTATACATTTTTTTGCTTCAATCGAGCTATTATTAGTCATTTTGTATTAAATTATATTTTCTATTTTCTAATTACCTTTTAGGATGCCAATATATATATATATATATAGATCGTTGATTCGGTTTACTAAATTCACCAACCGAAAGCAACAATACTCTTTGTCCATTACAATTGCAAAAATAATGACGATAGTAGTACAATACTCTCAAAACATGTAGGAGTATACCTCTTCTCATCAGTGCACAACAAAGAACCACAGCAAATGAGAGTCGCTAATCTAAATAATATTTGTATATTATCAAACGAACTATTAATAAAAAAATAAGTCAAGATATTTATCAACAGTATTAATCTACATCCTTTTGTTTTTGTGTTTGCTTTCTTCCTTAATTCTGATTATATTTCATTTAATATTATTTTTTAAGTAATTAAACCACAGATTCCCTATTATCTGCATCACATGAAAAAAATTATAATACATACATATATACTCCGTTAATTCAAAGTTAGGAATAGCACACCTTTAATTCAAAATAAAAAACTTGCAGCGGCAAGGCAGATTAGTTATCCACTGAACCTTGCAAAGCAGATTAATAGAAAAGTTGAAACTGATCATTAATTAATCATTTAATTGCTCTCGCCCTCCAGGCTCCGAAAGAATTTAAAAAAACATTTCGAAGAAGGAAGGGGATAAGGGAGCCAGGTACATTTACAGCTCCCATGACCTTTGCCTTGAGATTCGTGATCTTCTCAATCTCCTCCGCGATCCCTCTGTTCCTTCCTCTCTCTCCTCTGAACCTTCCACACTTCATCTTCCTCCTTAGCTTCTCTTACAAATATCTCTTTCCCTGCCGCCCCCTCTCCTGAAAAACCAATGAAGACCAGCACTAACACCAAGCTCATTCTCTTTCATCCTTCTCTTCACAAACAATCTTCTCCTTTATTACTCCCTCCCCATCGCCTCCGCCTTCTCTTATTCTTTGTCTTCCTCACTTTCCTCTTCATCCTCACCCTCCGCACCACCACCTTCACCCTCACCCAATCCTCCGCCTCCGCCTCCGCCGCCTCTTCCTCCGCCGGTTCTCTTCCCCCCTCGGTTGCCAGAGCTCTCCTCCACTATGCCGCCGCCTCCAACGACACTGCCAAATCCATGTCTGCCTCCGAGCTCTCCGCCATCGCCGTCGCTCTGGTTCAAAACCCGAGACCTAATTTTCTCATCTTCGGCCTCACCCGCGAGTCCCTCCTCTGGTCCGCCCTCAACCACCACGGCCGCACGGTGTTCCTCGACGAGAACGAATACGCCATCTCCAAATTTGAGCAGTCCAACCCCGGGATTGAAGCATACGACGTTCAGTTCACCACCAGGGTGAGCGATTACCCTCAGCTTCTTTCTCTCGCTAAAACCCAGTCGAAAAGCGACTGCAGACCTGTGCAGAATCTCCTGTTCTCGGAGTGCAGGCTCGGAATCAACGATTTGCCGAACCACATATACCAAATACCGTGGGACGTGATTCTGGTTGACGGCCCACGTGGGTATTCGGCGGCGTCGCCGGGGAGGATGTCGGCGATTTTCACCGCGGCCGTTCTTGCGAGGAGCAAGAAAGGCAGCGTCGGGGGTAAGAGAGTGAGAACGCATGTGTTCGTGCACGATTTTTACAGAGAGGTGGAGAGGATTTTCAGCGACGAGTTTCTGTGCCAAGAGAATTTGGTGGGGACGGTGGATATGTTGGGGCATTTTGTGGTGGAAGGTGGGAGCGAGAATGATAATAGTTCTGGATTTTGTAAAAATTCGAGCTCTCCGGCTTCTTCATCGTCATTGCCGTCGGAAAGTGAAGAAGACGATTAAGTTCTGAGAATCTGTAAAAATGATGTTTTTTCCCTTCTCTCTTTTTTTTTTCTTGGCGCAATTTTATAACAAGGAAAAGAAGTGTAATATAATTTGGAGTTGTCATAGTGGTTTGCCCCTTCTTTACAGCGTCCAAAATCACAGGTTAACCAAAGAAAAATGAAGCTGTGGAATTTCAAAATTCCGTGGGTGCAATTGGGTGCCGATATTATCTTTTTCAAATATACTGAAGGTGAGGTGCAGAATATCTTTTAACTAAAGTGAGAATGACGAGAGAAACATGCACTAAACGGTTTGAGGTTATGCAAGATCTAACTTGTTACCTTCCGCTTGTAGAAAAGTTTCCATGTGACTAGATTATAAAGCCATTCTCATCGTGAATATAACAACTTTATTAGCCTGTGTGTTCTCGACGGGGAGGAAACGGAAAGAACAAGGTCGCACCGGAAAGCTGGATGGATCCGTAGATGTTGGAAACATGTGAGGCGGGAGAGGAAGGGCGCGTGGGATAGAATAGGGCTCTACTGCTCAATTTGACGAATGGTCAACATTCAAATTTAAATTCAAAGCATTCTCATGACTTTCTCTCTCTCTATCATTTAGCACAGTAATTGCTCAACAACCAAATTAACGCAATGTGCGTCGGTCAGTCGGTCGGTGGGACTAGCATTCGGCAGCTTAACTTGGAGATTCAGAATACGCTGATTCCTATTACTCAAGATAATTCGGCATCTACAAGGGGACTTTTTTTTTTTTTTTTGTTGGTGTGAAAAATTGGTGACTCAATCATTGGGCCCTTACGCGTGGCTTCGACAAGATATGGCCTATGTCCAAGTGTCACCACCTTATTTGCCTCCTCAACTTGCTCGGATTTGCCCTTCTGTACGCTCACGTGGATCAGATGGAGAAACACTATGCTACGGTAGACACTGGAGTGCTGGACACCGTAAATGAACCCCCCAGAAAAAGGTCATACCGTGTCGGTGCCATATCCGGCCTTTTTATTTCAACCCAAAAACGTTTTTGTTTTTGCCTCAAGATTATAATCCTGACTCTTGCTTAAGCTTATATATAAAGACGAACTGAGTTGCTCTAATGGTTTTCTTTTTTACTCGCACAATAAACAACCATTTTTCACGTAAAAGTTTTGTGATGGTCGAGTTTAATGTACCGTGGACCCTGTAGATTCCAAACGAGGACACGCTAACTACTTGTGATGAATATAATTAAACAAAGGGCATTTGGTAATTAACGAACCAACAAACCCATTACTTAAATACTTATCACTTGGTACGTCTGGCCTACATATGTCGTTTGTTGTTACTCTGGTGGTTGGCCCCACGTTCTTATGGACTTCATAGATGTACCGTTTCCAACTTTAATTTACAAGCATGTGTTGCTCCTGCATTTATTTATTTCTTACTATGAAGAGACCGAATTTTATTAAATTAATTGACAGCTTATATTCTCAAAAGTCTCCGGACTCTAAACGTCAACTTCGTTTAGCTCAGTGTTGTTTTCGTGGAATTTTGTTGGGACTAGACTACTCTCCAATAACATGTTTCATTATTTTGGATCATCTAATACCAACGAATGCTTCCAAGAGATTGGTGGGCCTATATAGTCCATATAGTGTCACCCAATATGTAATATATATGTTACTGGGCGTAATAGCGAGGAATGGATCAAGCAATAATTTTAACAAGACTAGAAGGGATCCGCTAGCCTCTTTAACATTAGGATTAAGGGATTAGAAAGTTTAAAAAGTTTTTTTAAAAGAACATTGAATATCTTTACTTTTTAATTAGAGTAATGTCACTATGAAATTATTAAAAGTTGAGCAATAGCATCTTGAAACTTTAAAAAAGAATACAATTTGACCGCACTGTTGAATTAAAAAATGTTAACTATTAAAAGTGGGGTTTGACCAAAAACTTTCACACATCCTTCCGCACTTCTTCCTCAATCATCCTTCTCTCTCACGCACAAACGCAAGAAAACCCATCATCCTCCAACAATGATGATCATTTTGCAGATTTCACATCCTTATAGGAATTTTTACAAGTATGTGTCATTGCTATTCAGATTCACGTTGCACTCCCCTATTGTCCAAGATTACAAAATCAACTTTAAACGCACCTCGACAATTTTGGTAACTTCAATCATGGCTTCAAATGTGCGAATAGCAACACCATCGTTAGCAATATAGGTGTTGAGCTTCTTGACTGGGTAGTCAACGGTGAGAATTGAAAGGATGGTATTGGTGGTGACGAGAGGTGGTTCCTTTTTTGGGGTGTTGAAAAAAAAAGATCAACACTGGGTAAGTCCGATTGGCCGAAAGGATTTGACGACGAAGGTTGTTTGAACTCATCCTCTAGAGCCTCCAGGTCGATGCTTCTCTTAATGTAACTGAGCTTGGGAAGGATATTAAGAAGCCAAGAGAATGCAAACTAGATCCCACACAATTGAAATCCCCTAAAGCCACATCGTCCTCCTTTGTGCTTTCAAACACTTTTCTTTTACTTCTCCCTTTTGATTTTTCTATTGTGTCTTCCACAGAGTGAATTTGCTAGCTAGATAGATATTTTGGTTGTTCATTTCAAGATGTTAAGATTGAGTAAGTTACTATCAGGAATGCTGTGAATGAAAGATGAAGATTGCATCCTGAGAATATGAACTTGTGATCAAACTCTTGATGAAACTAGGTTGTTAACGAATTTAGGAAGACACAAACACTGAAGAGAAGACAAAATGGGAGAGAGGGAGAGAAGAAGAATAGTTCAAGAAGTGGGAGAGCAAGGCACATGTCAAATCGTTGGTCAAAACAATAGGCTTAACAATAAATGGTTGTTTGGACCAATGATGAAATAATATTGTACTTTTTTTTTAAATTTTAAAGTAACATTGCTCCTCTTAAAATTTAAAAATACTTATAATTTTTTTGAGAAAATTTTTAGGATATTTTTGTCCCTTAACCTTTACTTTTACCCTAATATTAATCACTATGTTAGTTTTTCATTCAATTTTGGGACACATATTTTAAATGTTAATTTATATTACTTCTCTATGTTGGAAGGGGAAAGGAAATAAAAAAGGGAGAATCGCACTAAGGGCCATAAAAATATCATTATTGCATTTTAGGCCTAAAGACTCTGATATTGCACTAAAGGCCTTGGGCCCTTATTACTATTTTTTTAGACTAAAAATACAATTTCACCCTTTTGAATCCATATTCGCGTGCTCCCTATATGTCTCTCACACATAAACTCTTTCTCTCTCTTCGCATCAGATTCAAAAGCTGTAAAGGGTACAAGCGTGGAGGATTTTCAAAATTGCATCAAAATGGAGTTCCCGAAATGAAAAGGTTGTACTGTCTCACAACAACTACCTTGCTTTTCCACACTCAATCATATATATCCTTTTTCTCTTATAGTTTGTCTCTGTGAAAGTGCTGCTTCTTTGCCACCTGCAATTAATTTCTTATCGATGACCCACATTTGAATCATCCTATTGAAGAAGGTGAATTAGGGCCTTCGATAAGGATTTGTCTATGTTTCTGACATTGCTAGCGACATCATTCGTGATATTCGTGATGTTAATGCATTGTCATGTATATAGTAACATCCACTAGAATTTCATGAAAAGACATGGACTTTTAATTGAGTATGCGTGAGCATTGTGTTATGCATAACAACACAACATCCACTAAAATTTCATAAAAAGGCATGGACTTTTAATTGAGTATATGTGAGCATTGTGTTATGTATAGTGGATGTTATGTTATACATGATCTCTCTAACTTGTCCATTTTATTGAGCACAGGCTACAGAAATACTAGAAAGGTATATACTTCCAATTGAGCATACGTGAGCATTGTCTTAAACATAATAAATGTTGTGTCGTGTATGGTCTGCCTAATTTATTCATTTTGTTGAGCCGAGGCTATTGAAATACTGAAAAGATATGGACTTTCAGCTGAGCATACATAAGCATTGTCTTGTGCATAGTGTATGTTTGTGTTGTGCATGGTCTGCTTAACTTGTCCATTTTATTGAGCCCGGGCTACCAAAATATTAAAAAGGTACGTGTAACATCGTGATTTTTATATAATAAAGAAATTGTAGAATTTAGGTTTTGAGGAAAACAAATGATAATAATAGGAATTTATATTATTTGAGGTTATTTAGAAATGATATTATGGTTAGGTATTTAATTATAAATTTAAAAATTTAAATTTAAAATCACATAAGCAATATTTAGTTAAGATATAATACATAAATAATTTTTTTATGTGTGTTAAAAAAAAAGAGCAGGTAGAAGGAACAAAAAAAAAGGGGGTGGAAGGTTGTTGTTTCTAAGTCCCACATTGGTTAGATGAGGAAAGAGAAGAGGTGCCTTCATGTATAAAAAGGAGGGGGTATGTGCATTAGGAAGCATGAGAGGTTAAGATGCAATTTAGAGGAAATTACAACTTTTAGCCCAAAGGTTTGAATAATTAAATTTAAACCTATATTTTTTTAATATAATTTTGGGACCACAATCCATTTTTATATTATTTTTCTCTCTTCCTCTCACGTTGCTCGGCATTTTCTCGCATGGGGGGATTATTTTCTTTTTCTTCAAGTATGTTCTAACTTTCCTATTTAGATTAGCATTTAAAAATTTATTTAATTACAAAATTAATTTTATAGTTATTTTTCAAATAATATTAGCTTTCTAGTGATATGATTATTTTGTAGGATAGAGTAAATATTCTGATTAGGATTTTTCTATAGGATAGTTAATCTGATGATATGATGGAGTAAAAATATAAGTTAAAACTCTTAGGGATATAATAAATATTATAGAATATTTTCTTGAGGTTGAAACTCATGTTTAAAAATTTTTGAGTTAAAATCTAGATCTATATGATTGAATTTGTGTGGAATTTGAGATGTAGGGATAAACCTATGATTATTAAATATTTATTTAAGTATGAATAGGTATTTTTGAGGTTATAGAAAGGTAATTTGAGGCTTCAGGATAATTCTAAAATTTTTAATTTATTTTTGGATAAATTTTTAGAATATAGAAGGATGAAATTGTGATACTAGAAGTGAATTGAAGATAAAAAAATAGTTTA